TTTTCACCTGAGGTAATACATGACTACTATCATCTCACCTGGGCAAATATAGTCCCAGTCCCGCATGATTTCAACTGGGTTGAAGTGGCCGAAGTTTTATTGGGACGGGAAAATGCTTGGCCGCTCCCTACTGCTGATTGGTATCATATAGACCTCACTCCGTCTATCGCCATCCTTTGGTTATTCATCTGCCACAACATCGAGCCGATCTCCTATCGGACGACATTCACCGATTAGAAGGCAGACTTTATTTACCACTTAGTTCGAGGGAACAAAATTGACTTTGCCACCTATATATACAATCAAATACACATTATAGGCGCATGGGGTGACACGCACACATCACTGATATTCCCAAGCCTGATAAGTGGAATTTGTAGAGCAGCTGGCATACAAGTTCAGCCAAGGGAGGCACCGGAGAAACCAAGTCCTTTTATCAAACGCCTCACACTCGAGGCCCAAGACCGCGCCAAGATTAAACATCAGCAGAAATTGGAAAACGTCAGCAGAAATTGGAAAACGAGCGCTAGCGACAGCAACAGGCTACAGAGGGACAAGTAGCTGTGGACTTTGAGATGCCACAGACTCCGCCACCACCAGTTGACATGGACACCCAGTTATTACGACGGATGTTTGCTACTATGACTGGACACGGCCGGGACATGCAGCAGCTTCAGTAATCCTTTGGGGCACTGACTACCACAATTCAGCAGGTACAGACAGGTATGGCATCTGCACGAAACTTCGCATCCACTGCCAGCAGTGAATCCATCGTCGCATGCAGACAGATGAGTACTTTTGATGGGCGTCTGGGCATGTGCGTTAGCCGGATGGACGGTATACAGTGGTGGGTGAACGAGTCTTGGGACCGCCTAGGGAATTTGGAAACGAGGGTTCAGGCCATGCAGATGGAGCAAACCTAGCAGTCTGCCATGTTGAGAGAGATCTTATCTCGCCTTCCCTCTCATCCTGGCGATGATGATGCCGGGCCCAACTTTCCATCCCAGCCACCGTTTTGATCATGAGAGTATTGTTTATCCCATTTTGATTCTTCATCTTCATTTTGTCCTTAAAAATTATGTCATTAATCTTTTGTTAATCTTACATTGAGGACAATGTATTAACTAAGTTTGGGGAGGGTGACATAATTTAATTCATATCTTTATCTGTGTTCATCATTATCTGTTTTTTTTTTATTAATGCATGCATGATGAGTGAAAAAAAAACTTGACATTCTATTCAGTTTGTTTTAATTCTCTTAATGCATGCTTGTGTGGGTTTAATAACCTCGTTCGCTATGATGTTATTGTTGGACTAGTTTAAACTATAAAATTTTGGATCTGGTGTTAATTAGACTAACTGATACTTGTTGATGCAACACTTGACATTATCTATGCACGCTATTCATACTTGACATGTTAGGTGAATGAATGGATTTTGAGCATAAAGTAGGAAAAGAATGATAACCCTCTATTGAATTAACCCATAAACTACCTAAAGACAATTTGGTGATAGTTGAGCTATTATAGGAAAGCATTGAGATGAGTAGAGGCTCCGTGCATGAAATTTATTGTGTGGATTGCCTAGACCAGTTGGGTGAAGATTAGGTGAAAATCTTAAATTAGGGGTTGGTTTTGGAAACTAAATGTCTAGAACAATAAGGGCATAAAATAAATTTGTGAGAATAAGACATTTCTTTTCATGCCTTTATGACTCGAGCAAGTAAGCCTGTAAGGATATTTCAAAATCTGGTGCCCTAAGGTCAACTGGCTTGGGAGTCACCGGCCTAAAGCTCACTAAAAGAGTCATATAGAAAGCAAGAGAGAAAGAGGTCAATAAAAAGTCATCTTATCAAGCCTTTATAACTCGAGTGAATAAGCTTGTAAGGATATTTCAAAATCTGGTGCCCTAAAACCAACTGGTTTGGGAGTCACCGGCCCAAACCTCGTTACATGGGTTATAAAAAAAGCAAATGAGAAGATGAAAATCAATCAGAAATTAATAGAGAGAGAGAGAGAGAGAGAGAGAGAGAGAGAGAGAAAACATGACGAAAAGCCCTTAGACATTTGGTTGAAGAGACCGTACCTCTGAGGCGAGACAAGTAATCTAGTCTGATCTTGAGTGTCAAAGCAATCAAATCTAGGAGAGCCTTCGCTTTTTGAAATGTAGACTTCTAAATCCGAACTACGAGAGGGTGAGGACTACAACTATATAAATTCCTAATCTTAAAACACAACACTGGGATAATTGAGTGAAAAGAATAAGTTTGGGGGGCTGTGTATCTCTCGAGTGAGTAAGGATATATTTGACCACTTGGGGTTGGGACTCAGATTCATCATAAATCTGATATGTTAGCATGAATTCACGCACACACACGTCAATTTGCATTAAACAGGTAAAGGTTGATGTCATGTTTGCAAAGATAAATTTTTAAATACTCAGTCCAATCCTGAGCCACAACAGGATATTAAGCCATGTTTGTTCATAATTAAGTCACTATCTTGTTTGAGGACAAACAATAGTTCAAGTTTGGGGGGTTTGATAAGTGTATTTTTACACACTTATTTAGGTCACAAACATGACTTAAATACGAGCAAAATGATTGAATTGTGACTTAATCTTGTACAATTGTGAATTTTAGGAAACAACGATGAACATGGTGAAATTCAAGAGAAAAGACGCGAAAAAGGACTAAAGTGACGCAAAGTGAAAATTCAGGGACCAAAAGTGCAAATATCCAGAAGTTGATCCGATGAACAAATCGAGAAATCAATTAGGCCAATTACCAAATTGACGATATCGTGGGGTGATGAAATGAAAAGAATGAAGAGAAGATGCTAAGAAGTGAAGGATGCAAGTTGGAGGACCAAAACGCAATTTCTCCATAGTTGATAGTACTATGCGACCGCATAGTATTATCCTCTATGCGGTCGCATAGTACCATACCGAAACAAAAAAGGCTTGAAAAATTCCTTCTATGCAGTCGCATAGAACAAAAATCTGAAAAAAATTTAGTTTCCTTTTTCTTCCGAAACTCTTATAGAAACAAGATTTTAGGGTCCTACAAATACAAAAACTGGACCAGAACGAAGGGGACGCCATTTTTACATGTTTTTGGGAGATTTTGAAGAAGAAACAAGAGAGAAAACAAGAGATAAATATCGCGCCAATTGAAGATCAAAGTGAATATTGATTCGGGTGATGTCATTTCTTCAAATACTTTTGAGTTTTGTTCTTTTTAGCATGTTAGGCTAAATTTATTACTACTAGGAGATCGATGAACCTTGTAATACCACGTTTAATTGTTGTTTTGGATTTTTGACGTATGTAAACACCAATTCCGGAATTGATTGATTTATTTCGTTTTTATTTTCATATAATTATTGTGTACGTGATTATATGAATGTGGTGACCTGTTTTATGCATTCGAAAGAAGGAAAATAGGTTCGACATAGTATAAGTCGTCATATGGTCCGATAGAGGATAGAAATATAACTCTATGCCTTGTGTGCATCATTGGATATTCATTAATTATAATGCATGTCGGTATATTAGTATTCCTCATAGAAATATAGTCGAATCATATATTGAGATAGGTTTGGCATTGCTCGAGAGAGATTGCTAAATTAAAATAGGAATATCTATTCATCTTTTTGTGGAATTGTGTGTCAAAGTTGCATAAATGACTATTGAATGGGTATTGCTTGGGGATTCGTGATCCTAGTGAGTTAGAACATCCATTAATTCTCTAAAATTTTAGTAAAATTGCATCCAAGTTACTTTGAACTTAGTATAATCCTTAGTCAATAATTGCATCAACGATTACATTTTGTTAGTTAAAGTACAAAAACGCAATTTGTTTGTCGTGTTTCGGTTAATGTCATATTAGATTAATTCGAACTAATTCAATCCTCGTGGGATCGATACTTGGACTTATAGTCCATTTTACTACTTGTTAACGAACCGTACACTTGCGGTGGGTTTTGAATCGAAACAAATAATTTCGCGAACATATAGAAATCTTAGAGACGATGGGATAGAGTGTTTAGAATGTGTCTTTTACTTATCAATTCATCTTCTTCTCTTTTATTTCGTTTCGCCTTTGTTTTGTCAATGTCATTCGGGATTGATTCCGACACTGGTGCCAAGTTCGGATCTAAAATATAGAAAATCTTCAAGGTTGTGAGAATAAAACTTCAACTTGTCATTTCATCTTGTAAAGTTCAACCCGTCGAATCCGTTAAGTCTCACAAGGTCTTGATTCATCATCTTTATCGTAGCCATGTTTGTCTCACTCTACAAGTTGAAAATATCATTTGAAATTGTTGAACAAAGTTAATAAAGAACAGGAAAAAACCAGCAACAAGAATCCATCAAAATGAAAAGCTTGAACACAATTATGAATTGATGTCCTCAAATGACATTTGTTGCCACCGGAATAAATGCTTGAAGGATTTAATCAAACCTTAATCCAGGTTTGAATAAAGCAAAATTAACTTGAAAAATTAACTTTAAAGAAAAATATATAAAACTTGGTTTGATCTTTAATTTTGGATATAAGTTTTAATGTTTATGATATATTTTCAATAAAGAAAATCACGCATATATACAAAATTACAACCACCATGCGCAAAAATGTGAAAAACTAAGCAAAAAGGGTGTTAAACCCTTAATTCAGAATTCCAATGGACAAATTTTTGTGGGTGCCCATCCTATTCAACAAAATGGCTTCTATAATTGCAACAAAAGGTCGAGGACCTCCCAGGACTAAGGCTGTCAATGGATCGGATATGGATCAGATATACCCATATCTGATCCGATAAGAATAATTATCCGGTCCGATCCGATCCGATAATCCAACGAATATTAGATTGTTAAATCCATATCCAATTTGCTATGTTATTGGATATCCGATCTGATAATCCGATCCGAAATATTTTACACATTTTTTTTATTGTGATATAAAGAAATAACCATATGTTACTATTGACAATTTCCATAACAATCCACAAAATAATACCAAATTAAAAGGAACCAAAATATGAAAAATATTGCAATGACTACATATTCAACAAATGTTATAGATAAAGTGAGCAACAAAAACAAAGGAAAAAAAATCTCAAGCATAGCCTTTGAAGTTTGAGCTCTCTCTCCATATCATATCACCCACAAGTCCACCACGCCTACAAAAAAGGATGTTTAAGAATAAAAGGCTGTACAAAACAAATATCATCTCAAGAAATTGAAAACATAAATTTATATCTAAAACTTACATAAGCTTTAGTCATTAAGAAACATTATTTTAATTTTGTATGGCTTTGTTTGTAACATTCATGTCAAGTTCTGCAAAAAGAACGTGACAAATTAAGTACTTGTAAGGAATAAATAATAATACATAGTCACTTGAGAAAAAAATATAACCAAACTTAATAATTAGAATACCTAGTTACTTACTCTTCTTTTTCAGGGAAGGGAGCCAATCTTGTGTGGTCACCAAAGCTTCTACAGTTTTCGGAAGCAACGAAGCACAAAAATCATCAATTACTCTTCCTCCCACACTCAACGCAGCTTCAGATGCAACAGTAGTTGCTGGAACAGCTAATATGTCACGAGTAATTTTCCTAAGAGTGGGGAATTTAGCATTATTAACCTTCCACCAATTCAAAACTTTAAAATTTTCAGTTCTTGGAAATAATGGTTCCTCCAAGTACTTCTCTAATTCTGACTTTTTCGAAGAACATGACAAATTAGAAGATCGAAATTGTGTTGACCAAGAATCAAACCCACTCAATTGGTCCTCTAGAAATGCCCTCATTCCATGATCACTACTAGAACCAACTTCTTGACTTGCTTCCACTTCAGATTGGGATGAACTATCATCATACTCATTGAAAAGGTCAAATGTTGCCTTACGAACTCTTTCAACATGTGTGCTCATCAACACCATAGAGTTTATCATAATAATATTCAACCAAATCCATTTTAAATCTTGGATAAAAAAACAATAGCAATTGCTAATACCAAACAACACTCCTCCCAATATTTAACAACTTCAATTTCATTGGGCCAGCCATCATACTCAAAAAGCCGTGCTCACTTTTTTCCCATTTAGATAAATGTAGTTGAATATTACAAACATCCGGAAAATACACATTTGATGTGGGGAAATGAGACCAGAAAAATGATTTGTTGCATCATAAAATATTGTCAAGCAATCACATAGAACTTTAGCAATTTTCCATTCTTCATCACTTGGATAGAGTTTATAATTACGATCTGTTTGTGCTAGGCGCCAAAGCACCCCGTTCATCTCTATTGCACTTTCAATCATCTCAAAAGTAGAATTCCACCTAATAGAACAATCCATCTTCACCATTTTCTTATCTTTCAACCTAAGTTGATTTTTTGCATGAGTAAATTTTTGTGTTGCATATGGAGACCTTTTCAAATACTTCACAGTTTCTCTAACCTTATGAATAAACACTCCAATTACTTTTAACCCGTCTTGCACAATCAAATTAGGAATATGAGCACTACAATGCACGTGAAATAACTCACCTTCCAAAGGTATTGCAGACTTGTCACAAAGCCAACTTTTCAAACTTCTTACCATCGCATCATTAACGGTAGCATTGTCAACCACCATGGCGAACAATTTTTTTTCCAGATTCCAATCCAAAATCATATTAGTGATGTATCTAAAAAGTGTTTCCGCGTCATGAGGATATTCGATACATCTATAACCAATTATTTTTTTGTTCAATTCCCAATTATCATCAATAAAATGAGATGTCAAGCATATATAACCAATATCTTGATGATCAGATGTCTAAATATCAGTAGTTAGAGTGATTCAACCTAGGAGTTTCTCTAAGTGGTTGTGTAACTTTTCCTTTTCACGTTTGTAAACCTCAAGGACATCCGACCTCACTGTATTTCTTGACACAAGTTTAAACATTGGTTGCAAACCATTACAAAATATCTCAAAATATTCATGTTTAGCCATATTAAAAGGATAATTATGCATCATAACCATCTTAGCAAAATCCATCCTACTTTTCAATTGGTCAAACTTATGATTTTGAACCATGGCAGCAGCCTTTGGGAAACTTTTGGATATGGATAGCATTTGTTGACCAATGTCTCTACTACTTTTCCCATTACACCTGTCCAAGTGATTCTTTAAGTGGTTGTTCCTTTAACACTCACTCCTACAAATTCTTTACGACAATGTTTGCACTTTGCAATTTCATTTCCTTTTGGCCCCTTAAATTTTATAAAATAATTTCATACCTTTGAAGTCAATTTTCGTCTCTTAGGAGAAGGTGGAGGTGAATCTTCAACTTGTATAACATTCCTAGCATCATCTTTTTTCTCTACTTCAGTGTTGAGCTCGTCAGCCATTATATGTATCCAAAAAGCCCTAAAATCAAGGTCAATATGTTAAAACAATGAGGGAAACAACGAAACAACAAAATGAAAACAACAAAACAAGAAAAATTAGAAAATGAAGGTTAATAAGTTAAAACAACTTGAGGAAAACAAAACAAGAAAAGGGCATTAAATTTTTAAGGGCATATATGCTGATGAAATCTTGTTGGAGATGACATACAAAGAAAAATCAAAGAAGAATAAACCTTAATTTTTAGAAGAATATCCGTTTTTGCTGCGTAGTCGTAGAGATGAAGAGGCGTAGAAACGTAAATATGAGCTAAAGATGGAGAATACCATGGGATTTCCATTTTTTAAGTCTGATTCATCTATGGTCCAATTAGAATTTGGAGAATATGAAAGGTTTTTTTTTGAATTAACTGATTAATTTCTAGAAAGAAAAAAAATGAATGTTCAGGAAACCAAAATGTCAAACGTGGTTGGAAGAATGATAATGTCAAGCCCATTATCCTCATTTGTCAGATTGGCACATGGATTGGGATGGAAGTGTCAAGCCCATTCGTGTTTCAACATTTCTTTATTTTTTTTTTCTCAATACACAATTTATTATAATATATATTAGTGTTATTGGAATTTAATAATTTTGATATCCTTAATTAAAAATTCATTAAAATTCATAAAGTATAAGATCAATTTTTTTATTTAAAAAAAATTGCAATAAATTATGTGATAATATACAAAATATATTTTATTATAATAAATCAGATCGGATTTACCTATATCCATATTTGCTCCATTTAATTAACGGATTATCATATTCGGATCTTAATCGGCTTATCGGACTAAAACCTTAAATCCATCTCCCATTAATTTCATCGGATTCGGATCAAAATCCAATCCATTGACAGCCCTACCCAGGACCTCCTTTTTTTTTTTTTTTTTTTTTTGCATTCACCCTTTTTTGTTATCATTTTGTTTTCACTTTTTTCTCATGGTTAATCAATTTCATCAGTTTCAAAATTACTCCTCATTGTTAATTTGAACAATATCCAGCACCTCAAACTTATTTATGAAGTAGATAAATTAACAAACAAAAAAGGGAAGTTTGACACAGTAGTTAATCTATTCTAATTCAAGAGCTGGGCTGATAATAGTAATATTCTTATTATAACCAGAATGCTGGCAACCATGATGAACTCCATACTGCTGCAATCGGCTTTGGAGATATTGGTTGTGCATTCTCTATGCCAGAGTTTGCTGAATCGTATAGCAGACAACAAGCCATCAGGCATCTTGAAAAAGGAAGAGTTGTGATATTTGGTGATATTGAGTTGGGACGGGAAATCCACTCATTTCTAATAAATTAGAATAGAACACTTAATATATGAGCGAATAATAGATAGTGTATTAATGTCAATTAGAATAGAACACTCTTTAATGAACTAAATTACCAAGTTTTGACCAAATTCCTTGGTTTATTGGTATGACCTGAACTATACACAAATGGTCCCAAAACATCATTGGTACAGAGCAAAAATTACCCTTTGTTGATTGGTATTAGCTGAACTATACACAAATGGTCCCAAATCTCTATATCAAATGGTCCTAAGTTACCAAATCACGCCACACGTTTTACAAAAAAAGAGAAACATTTTGGGATCATGTAGAATTTTTTGTATAGTTCAGCTATTTTTGTAGTACGTGTAACATGACTTGGTAATTCGGGACCATTTGATATAATTCAAACTATTGGTATTGAGCGGAAAAATTATGTATGAATACTCGAAGTTTTGTTAAAGCAAAATGGTATAAAGTTGTAATCTCGTCCTAAAATAAAGAAGAAATCTTTGACCAAATTACCCTTGGACAAATCACACGAGTGTAGTACAGATGACCATTTGATGGGACAAATGAACATAATGAAGCTGCACGGGTGATTTGCATAAACTCATTCGTACATCAAAAGTGTACATCATCTAAGTTGGCAAGATTTGATTGGTAAAAAAATTGTCAAATAGTGTAGTGCCACATGGCACGATGTAAAATATGTTGTAGATATAACATGATTAAATCAGATTTTGTGTAGATTGCATTCGTCTGTCAATTTTTTGACGTTTTCCTTTTCACTGCATGCCATTAGTCGTCATTAAAGTAAAATGGTTAAATTAGGCCTTGTTTGGTGCATTTTATTAAGTAACCTGCTTAATTCATTTACTCACTCTAATATATATTTTTTAGTAATAATTTTCTTCAAAATAATAATAATAGACCTATAGTCAAAAAAGGCCGTCTAGCACAATATCTCTCTCTAGACTAGTCGACCCACAATATATTCCTTCTTGAACTTGAATTAGGCAAAATAAGTGTGAGGTCAACCAAGCCTTGTCAACTCAATCCCAACCCACCTTTCGCACTCGTAGGTTAGTGACAACTGCTCACCTCTTATGTTTCTTTCGAAGAGGTTTCGCCCTAATTAGAGTTTGATCTGAAGTACTTAAATGTTTTGTCTTCTCACGTAGTGGGACTACTGTAGATTGTTTCCAACATATCTTGATTAGCTCTCAGCACCTACAAAATCTCTGTCCATTGACTTTGAATTTTTATTTTATGAACTTTCGTAGCTAGTGAAGTTTCTTCTAAAACAAAATTAAGAAATATAATTTTTAATTCTTTTCTTCATTTCTCATTTATTGCGCTCAATTTAATTACTACTATTGCTTCAACCAAACATAACTTATATAAATAAATATAATGCATTTGTACACGAATATCTTGGTAACATTACTAAGGAAGAATCATCTACATGTACAAACTTTTTTTTACAAATTCTCTTACGCACTACTCACAATAGAGGTGAGGATTACAAGTCGACGCCCCCCAGGGCACATCCAAGTTGGCGGAACAATCATATTGGGGGGCTCTGGAACCAAGTGTGGGGAGTTCGATTCCTGGTTGGAGCAGCCAAGTGATGTAATAATCAGAGGAAGGGTTGGAGCAGCTTGGTGATGTAATAACCATGGAAGAGGGTCCCTTTGGGGAAGGAGTAAAAGTCATGTGGGAACCTGGGAACCAACAAGGGCACAACCTGCGATTTACCTCCACTAGTCACTGAGGGGCCGGGGGCTAGAGGTCCAGGATTTAGTCCGACTAAGCTGGGACACCTGGGTTATCAAAAAAAAAAAAAAAGAGGATTACAAGTCGACAATTTTTAAATTCAAGAGGGGTCCAATAATTTTGTGAGAATGAGTACACTATTTTATCAACAAGATTTTGTACAAATATCTTTATCTATTAAGGAAATCATTGTAAATATGCACATAATGAGTCCACCTACCACACCCAAAGACCCAATTTTGAAATGCAAGTTTGCTATTATTTCAATTTTTAATTTTATACCTCAAATCATTATTATTTTAAAAGATTCAAGGATAAGAATGAAGGTTGAAATGTGCCTTTTGGTCAATCAACTTTTCGTTCTCAAGTTTCAACTTCACTACCAATTACGTGTTAGCATGGAAAATGCCATCTCGCTGGCCATCAATTTTCATCTAATAAAGCTGTACTGGGCCCATCTGGCCCTGTACAGCCAGCACAACCCATTTTCATCGGGCTTGGAACTGTTCATTTTCTAAGCATTTAAATTTTTAAATAAATTTTAATTCAAATTTACCGTAGTCTATTTACAAAAATTTCAAATATAAGGTCTTTCACGTCCTACTAAATCGAAAGGTGAAATGGTTTGAATCCACACTTAAGACTAGTGAAAGGTCCAAACTCCAAAGGGTGCATACAGAAAGTCAAAAAGAATGCGAGTCATACTACATGTAGAATTATTTTTTACAATATTGATTGTCGATCATACTTGTCATCATCATATTCATCCATTTCAAGAACTGTTTTTAAAATTACTGGATCAAATTTTGACATCAATGTTGTCATCCATTATTTTCAACAATAATTGTACAAATAGATTAATTCAAAGAGATGCTCGTGCACTGTAGTGATATGATATTTGAAAAATTATTAGAAATTTGACCCCGAATTTTATTTATTTTTATTTTTATTTCGGAAATTGATGGCTATGAACCCTTTTCAATCACAATAATATTCTTAAATCATTGATCACCCTAAAGCTAAAAAGATTGTGCAATTAAAATATGAATATGCTCCAATTGTATTTCGTGTGAATAGTTTAAACCAATAATCTCAGTCATGGAATCACCTTATCCTAAATTTAAAGTTGTCATTACTTTTCTTCTCACAAAATGTGTTGATTAGACTACATAGATTTATCATGGAAACATTAAAGATTATAAAGTGTTGAACTAGGTCATACAAAAGTTTGAGATGGTTAAAGAGAGTTAGAATTTATTTATTTAGCTCCGGTTTGGTTTGCTAAAAATCATATTTTTAAAGATTTTGATAAAAGTTAATGAATATATGGTTGAAATATCAATTTTAAAAAATAAAATTAAATTCCATTAATTGTGTGATGAAATTAATTGTTGAGTTTGACTTAATTTTTTATCAAATTTTAAATTAAACTAAATTTGGACTTAATTCGACTTCTTCCTTGTAGGTTAAGATTTTATTAATCAAAAGTTTATTCTATGAAAGTTTTATTAGTGAGTGGTGACAATGTTTGCACTTAATATATTTGCATCATCTATTACATCATGTTGGACTATTTAATCTAAAACTAAAGATTATGATGGTTCGTGCCCACCCTACATCTCCCTGCCTCGTCAGGGATCGGAGCATGGTACATGCTCTGCACCCCGAAACTAAGTTAACAATGCAGGAAATTGATTCATGTTACCATCCTACTTAAAATAGATGTCACAAAGAGAACGAATTTTATTTTTGTATTAATATCTTCAATAGAGGAGATACTTTATACGTAGTAGTATTCTAAAATGCGTGAAAAGACGAGTCAAGGCTTGATGAAGGCCCCCGCATATGAAAAAAGATGTTCAATACTATTTTAACCCTCTATAATGAGGCCTTATAGGTATCAAAAGGCATGATTAATATGGGCTTAGGCGTCAAAAGATGTGTAAGTATTTTATTTTATATGTTTTGTTTTCAATTTTTAACAGTTAAGTTAACTAATTAAATAAAATGAATCATTATAAATAATTATAGCACTATACTAAAATTAAGAAAAAATTTATTTTGTAAAAATTCATAAGACTTGAAGTTGAGCATTGCACCGTTATTTCACTATTCCAATCGTAATTTTTGACTTCTTCTCTCACAGGTGGACCCTATTTTTTTTCTAACGATCAAAAAATCAATTCTCAAAATACCTTCCAAATGGGGCTAAGCTTATCCCTTTTCAATTCCATTAAATCTTTATTCTCAACGAACTAAACACGTAAACAATAGCAACCAACACATGTACTATTTATCCCTATCTTTGAATTCAATGGTTGAAAGAAAGCACACTAAAAAGCCAATTTGAAAAGATGTGAAGTTGATATCATTAATTATTTCTGGTTATTGTGGTTTGTTCATTATTCCAAAATGCTTTTGAAATGAAAGAAAGAAGAGAGAGATACAAACAAAGATTGTATGACAAATCATTGGATTACATATAATAATGGAAGTAGAAGTTTGTATTCAAATATTTAATTCCCAATAAGGATTATGGGGTGGGCCCATGTCGGTTGCTTATTAAAATCATCAAAATCTATTCACATGTTATGTGACCCTATCATGAACTAAGGTAGGGCAATGCATGTGACACCTATCATAAATTGGTGCTAAGTTGTTGAGTTAATCATGGTCAAGTGGTTGTCTTTTTTATTTGGAAGCCTACGTAGGACTAGACAAGGATCCTACGTGGGATTTCCACCATGTTTGGTTATGTTTACAACCAATTTAAGTTACTTTTAAGTAACTAGCAAGAATTACTAGTTTAAAAAAATTATCTTGTTTAAAAGTAAAATGTTAGTAGATACGTTGAATCAAATACAACTTGATACTAGACAAGGGCATAATAATATTATTATCATGATATTTTTAGGGCCCGTTTGACAAAACTTTTAAGAAGTCAAAAGTTATTTTGAAGATTAAAAAATTACCTCTGTTTATGTTTAAGAGCTTGTTTGGTAGATATTTTGATAATTGATTTTTTGATCGTTAGAGATAAAGTGGGTCCTATCTGTGAGAGAAAAATTTAAAAATAACAGTTGAAATAATGAAATAACGGTCAAAAAATTGATTTTAATTGGTTTAAAATTCCTACCAAACAATCGCTAAATAATTTTCTAAAGATATTTCGTCTTGACAAAAAGAGATTTTTGAAGAAATTGTCACAAGTTAACTTTCTTAGAAATTTATGGTACAAGAAGTAGAAGTTATGCTAAACAGACATTTAGCCTCCGTTTGTTTATCATTTTTGGAAGAATAAGAATGAAAAATATAATCGTTACGGATCACGCACAAGAGATAGAAATTGAAATTTGGTGATTTGATGTGATGGATAACGATTATATTTTTCATTTTCATGAGAAAATAATGGGAACCAAACAAGAGTTTAATAAGATAAATTAGATGATATCAATTAGTGATATATCATTCTCCAAATATAAAAAATCTCAAATTTGGTAATAAGATGTAAAAATGTCGAAAGATTGATGCAAAAAGTAGAGGAAAAGAATTGAATAACTAGAAATGTTAGTTTGTGTGCACTAATAATTGATGTTGATAAAGAGCACAGCACTTTAGCAGACATCTTCATGAATACGCTACCATTTGTCCCCATTCTCTCAGTCCTTGAAAGAGATGATGCATTCATACACGCCCTTCCCTTCAATTAATGGGGTTTGAATGAAATCATTGAAAAAAGGAACCCAATTGACACCCCTTTTTCTTAAAGCATGCCTTGAACCAATGGGACAGGCCAATGAGCACATAAATTTATCCATTGGAAAAATGCACGCTTAAGTACTCCTCACGTAATAGATTTTAGAAAGTAGATCTTTAGTTATGTTTGCCATACTTCAATTTTCAAAAATATCTAAGTTCGTAGTAGATGACTAATCGTTAAAAAGCACTTTGACTTGTGTGTATTATACATTCCAATCCTATTAGCAATTCACACCTCCTTGCTCTCCCTCGTTTCTTCTCACATGGTCCCATGGCTCTCTTTGGCCCCTTGCATTTTACACCTACATCTCTCTCCACTCACCCTGAACTTGTTTTTCGAATTTTCCTCGTGTGTCCTTGGTTCTTTTATTCTGCGTCTACGATATCTCCTAACTTCTCGAGGATGCTTGTTATTGGAAATTTGGGATGCAATTTTTTTTCTTTTGTATTGAAATAAGGCAATGATTGTCGTTTTAATGAAAAATTGACCTTTCAATCGCCGAGTTAAGACCAAAACTTGCTACGAAGTGAAAAGTTATGATTACCTTTCTAAAAACCCACTTGAAAATGAAAAGTTATTACTACACCAACCTGTTCAATCCCTAAAGATAGAGAACTTCATGAGCAAATTTTGATAAAATCCACTAACACCATAAATTACGTTTAGAACTCTCTCTCTTTATTCTTTTAACACATTCTTTAATTAATCTTTAACCTTGTTTGATTTATGTAAGTACGAATTGAGCTAGCAAGACACATACAAATTCAAATTTCAAAATTAATTAAATTATTTGTATGCCAATATTAAGGATGTAAGAATAACAATAAACTAATAGAGGGAAAAAAATAAAAAAGAACAATAATACTTGTACATAATTAAGTTACATAATAACTTATGTACAAATGGTGTGTCAAAAGAGAATGATATTTTTTTATTTTATTTGATTGAAGAAATTTTGATCCAATCATTTCTCTCTTCGTATGTTTGTAAATCATTATGTACATATAACAAAATCGAAAAAAAAGAGCAGTAATTCAATAAAAATTGAATATAATAATTTGGAATAATTCCTTTTGTAATTTATATGTTCCAAGAAAATGAAAGAAAATAAGGGCTACACCTTTTCCTTACCAAACTATTTAACTTTTTTCTACTTGTACTTTTTGCCACAAAATTCACATAATATGAGCTAAAAAAATGCTCATAAGTGGATTTTCTTTAACACCATAAACATCAAACAAAGCCCCCATCCAACAACAACAGATTTCAGTATATCTACACAATTCACATAGAAATTCTAGATATTTCCGTTGTACTTATGAGGCTGCAGACTGGTGGTGGTGGTTGGGGGTAGGCGGTGTTTGGGAGAAAGGGTAAAACCTTGGTCTAGATAAAGGAAATGGATTTATGGGTTTTGTTGTAGAGTCAATATTGGTGGTTCTAGCGTTAGTGGCGGCGGCGGAAGTGGTGGCTACACGTTCACAAGAGGGGCACATGGTGAGTGTGGTGGCTGGGAGTTGACTGCAGAACGGATTTGAAGTCTTGAGAGCCCTTAGTTCTTGTAACTCTTTGTGTAGCCTTCTGTTTTCTTCAGTTAGTGTGTCACAACATCTCTTCAAATACTCGCAATCAACTTCTGTTTGCTTCAACTTTGTTCTGCATAAATACAAACATAAATGCATGAATAATCAGGATTAACGTCCGGGTTCACTCACTGAATCTAATTTTGTACAAAAACAGACCTTGCTCTTCTGTTTTGAAACCAGACTTCAACTTGTCTTGGCCTAAGATTGAGTTGTTTTGCGAGCGCAAGCTTTTGTTTCTGCACAATCCAAATGAAAATAAGAACAGATTTGAAAAGAGAATTTCTTAATAATAATTCGTACTTACAGGATTGAGGGTGCTGTGTTCTTTGAAGCTTTCTTCAAGAAAAGCAGACTGTTCTTTAGATAATCTGAGTTTCTTTCTTGTGTTAAAGCCATTTTCATCGTCATCACTGGCCCTAGAGGATAATACTCTTTCAGTCTCTACGACGTCGTTTCCTCCAAGGTTTTCATTTCCAGTATTTGCATATATGCCAAAATCCCTCTGAAAGGGTGACCCCACACTGTTTGCCGACGACACCTCCTCCGCCGCCGGCAGTCTGTTAACCTCAAACACCCTCGCTGCCGCTAGTAGCCCAACGTTGCCCGATATCGAACCATTCTCTGAACTCCCTGGGTAATTTAAAACAAGAACCAGAAAAAAATTACAAAACTGAAAAGGAAATATTTATGCGGAAAATGAACACAGTAAAATTATATAAAATCAGATGTACTTATTGAAGAAACTGAATAAAAAAAGTTCAAAAAACAAAAAATCCGATTACCGTTATCAGAAGACCATGGAAGGGGATGAAGGTGAGACGGAGTTCGACGAGGAACAGGAGCACGAGGAAGAAGATCCAGTTGAATCCGAGTATTTTCCATGAAATCCTCCCTCGTATCTTCTGAAATATCATCATCACCATCTTTTTCATATGATTTATTTTCTTGATTTCCACCATTTGTGTTCAGACCCAACTCCATGCAGAGATTAAAACCATTTTTCTTGATGGGATTTTGTTGTTCTGAGGCACTGTTCTTCGTCAAGAACTCAACAGGCTTTGATGAATCTCCTAAGCTTAAACGCAACTCCATCTCTCATCCTAGGAAGAATTCTAGAGAGAGAAACTGAAGAGAGATTTCGGATTGACAGCATTGGAAAGAGTCTTTATAGACAGATTTTAGTTGTACCCAATTTATTAATTATAAAATTAATTAATAATTATTAGTAGTTTAAATAAATTACGCGTTAGACTTTGACAAAAAAAAAAATAACAATAATTTTAGCTATACAGATATTGACGTATTGAAAATATTTTCAGTTTAATAATTAATTAATGGGAAAGAAAGATGGGACAAGGAGTGGTAGCAGTAGACCAAACACATAAATCAGGTGACAAGTCCTTTTTTCTTCTCTTTTTCAAGATTTCTTTTGATTTTTTAAGCAATAATAATAATTATTATTATTATTATCTTCTTGAATTAATTTTGTTTTAAGGAATTTAAGTTATGATTAGCATAATTGCCCTTTGACCGACATACTCATGTTGACAAGAACACACGTGAAAGACCTATTTTATTTAATAGGGTAGCAGAGGTCCCACACAAGATTTTGGGGGACCTTAAAAATGTAATAATATTCAATTCTTCTATTCAAATTTCAAACATGTTAAAATTTCGATTTAGCCCTCGCAGAGGTTTTCGATAATGATTTTTAAGAGAATACGTGATTAAAAAATTTTAAAAATTAAATTTATGTACTAATTTTTTATTGTGTGAATGTATGATTGAAAGTGAGTATATAGAAATATGAATTTTCAAATAATAATTACTAAACATGAGCTTAATTTATAAGTAAAAGGAAGAAGAATAAAAATGAAGGAAAAAAAAAACATGTTTGAAAATTGTTTATAAATAATTTCGATTATAAATAGATAGAAATAATTTGTGAAGATGCTTAATAGATTTTATGAAATGTAAAAATAAAAAATGATTTAACGAATTATAAGAAATTTTAAAAAATAAGCAAAATTTACTGAGGCTCAATTTGACAAAATTCGTACAAGATTTCTATTTTTACTTTAAATTTTGCTCATAATTCTTGTAGAAGAGTTTCCTGAGAATGCTTACCTTAATTGTTGTTTGGAACTGATTCTTGAAAGAACTTTCTTTTTTCGAATTTTTTAAAAGGAAATCGTATTGGATCATCTCCTCTAAAATTCTTCTAATTAAAATAATTTTTTTTATATTCAGTGGACACAAACCAAAAGATCAATTTTAACCAAAGTAAATTAAATGAAAAAAAAAAATGTATGGAGCATTGGATGTACAAAGGGAATTTAGAGGGTGTTTGACATCCATCCTTTGTTTGAGCCCCATTTTGGTGGAGAAAATGAATTTTTGAATAATGTTGATGGGATATGTGTGGTTAAAAAATAAGGAAAATTTTTTGATTTCCGTATAATATTATTTTATTGAAAAATGTGTGGTTAAAATGATGTCAAATTACTATTGAAAAATATATTTTTGTTGAAAAAATAGAGCTCAAATTTTAAGAAAAATACGTTTTATAATAGTAAATTGATGGAGAATGTGTGAATGAAAAGCTTTTGATTTATGTGTAACATTATTTAATACAAGTGTGATGTTGAACATCAGTCTTAAGTGTCCAATATATCATTAGAGATGCTACATGCACAATGAAAGTTGACAAAGTTTGTTCACGATCATGATTTGGTATATCATATCCATCTATTTTTTAAACCAATTGTCCAGATTTTATCTCATCAAACATTATCAACAGATCGTGTCAATCATCATTGTACAAATAAATTAATCCGTATAGCATAGATCCTATTAAATTGATCATTATTCCTTGAATGTAGGAGGTATTTGAAAGTCATTTTTATGTAAAAGTACATTTTAGAATAGTAATTTGATGGGAAGTGTGTGGTTGAAAAATAAAGAAATTTTTTTGATTTACGTGTAATATTATATTAATTAAGAATGTGTGATTGAAAAAAAAGAAAGAAAAATGTATTTTGAAAAAATGGGTACCAAACGGGCTTAATGAAAAATTGCTATCAAATGAAGCTATAACGTCAGGAAGACACGTGTCTGAAAACGATTGGATAAATCATAAAAAACCTGGGAGTTTGGGCAAGTGGGTTTAATGGAATAATAAGTGAATAATAAAGTAAGAGATAAGCATTAGATTTGACCGATGATGCTTAGGGCAGGCACCGGTCAAATCGAATCGGATTGCTTTTTTATTAGTCCAAGAAAACGCCACAATTACCTGTAATTCTAATTAAGACTGCTAAAACTGAAAACTTTTTCATAATCTCACACACACTAGGCTTTGTTTGGCGTACAACTTTTCATTATAAGGGGAAATAGTAATTAATACGTATAATTGTCCTCTTCGAACTATACAAATAATTGAACAATAATTGAGAAATTCTGTTACACATATTTCTTCCTCACCTGTCACCAAACATACCCTGAGAACCTTATCTTTGTCAAAAGCGTGCGAATAGTATTAGCCGGCAGGGGGAATTATTTGAGGTTTTTTCTAAGGTCACTGTCCGTTTCCCCATAATTCATGCCACCATACAGTTTCTTTTTTTCCTTTCTAAATAATATTATTGTATCATTAAAGGCTGCATCACTTTCAATAATTGCAATAATCCTGAAAGCGTGACATTTGCTGTCTTTGACGACGCGTTTTAACAGGTAACTGCCGGTCACCCTATTTTTCACACTTTCATTTATTATTATTATTATTATTGTCTGCTACACTGTGTGCCAACTAAACATATACACCAACTACCACCCCCACAACATAACACGTGTCTATTGAAAAATTATATTGATTTATCATTTACTAAATATTATTTATCATAAGAATAATTTATTTCTTTTACTTCACAAAATTAGTCCAAGAAGCAAGTGCTGCTTTGTACAATTTCTAATACTTGTATACCTTAATAAAATAAATTTAGTATTCGGAAAAGACTATCACAATAGAATTTTATTTTTTTTAACGAATATTTCCTTAATAAGAAATCGTATTAAAAATTGATTGAAGAGGAAAATGGTCTTAGTACGTTTGATCCATAAAAGGAAAATCAATATAAGAAGAAATCGGCCAGATAAATTGTCTATGGGCTAACAGATTATTTTTATTTTTTATTATATATATATATATATATATAATTTTGTGTGTGTGTGTGTGTGTGTGAAAAAGTAATTGATTGTTGACAACTGGACATGAAACATGTAATATAATTAACGTTATAGAATTTTCAACTCTAATTTGTTGTTGGTACAATCATAAAAAAAAGGTTAAACCCTAACCTTAAGGTACACCCTAATGTACATTTCACTAGTAGTCTATTGTCATTAGCATTCTTCTTGCTTGTTGATTTTTGGTTCTTGATTATGCATGTCAATCTTGAACATCCCACTGTAGAATTTATTAATGATAAAATAATAAAATTTCTTTAAAGGAGAGTAGAATTGCTATCTGAAAGAGAAAAGGAAATTGCGATTGGAAGAGGGATTACTGCCGCTGCTGCCTCTCTATGAGTTTTTCTCTCTCTAACTTGTAAATTTGAGTGGTAGAAATTTGGATAATATTTATGAGAATCTCGAAATATATGGGAATTATTGAACCTATAAAATTAAACAATTTATGTGAGGTGAAAAATAAAATTTTAAAAATTTGGGATTGTGAATGACACATATAAAAAATCTGGATTTAATTTGTCATAAAAAGCTTGGATACTGAATTGCAATTATTTCTTTTTAATTTTGACACTTTTTTTTTTTTT